TCCAGATTTCAAATATTTAGTTCTTTATGTGATTGAGATAAACAGGTGGCCCCATGCGATTCATACAAGGATTTCACTTTTGGAAGTTATGGTGAGTTTGGTGGTATTTCCTTTAGGATTGTCCATTTCAGATATGTTAAGCATATGATGGTATTTCAAGATTTGTCCTTTAATCTTGAAACTGGGAATCCATGTAAGGACACATTTGCCACATAATCTAATTTACATATTTGTCACATAATCTTTCAACCGTTCTAAAGAAAATTTATGAAACAAAAAATTACAACAAGTAAATCTCAATCATACATTGAACCAACCATGTCCAAATATTTTTTGTAAAATTTATATCAAAAGAATATAACTAGCCGTTAATATCTATCCGACTTTTTCCATTTCCATTTTGGGTGCGTATCGGGTCTTCCAACTCTAATATATATCGGAAAAAAGGTAATGTAAAAGTGAGTATATAACCAACGTTTTGTTATTATATAATAAAATGAGTTTGTATGTGACCTTTAGCTATGTCATCATTTTTAAAAATGTCTTCGATGTTATAAACAATCGGCTTCTTTGATTTCCTTACCCAATCTTGGGTGCAAACCAAGGCATCTATTATAGGTGCGGACAAGTTTGCTCAGTAAGTATCAATTATGCGACCGATTGTACTAAAAGCGGACTCAGATGCCACGGTAGATATTTGAATGCCCAAAAGATCTAATAACATAACCATATAATATTAAATTATACTACCTTATAATAAAATCTATAAGTAACTAAAATTATACCTTTTGCCATCCGCGAGAGAATTGGGTAACGAGATGCGTTATTTTTCCACCAAACTAATATGCCAAAGCCTTTAACACCTTGGGTTTGTCCTTCGTTCAAGTACCGTGTTAACTCCGTTTCCTTTGAAGCCAATGGGTTCGCCGATTGAACAAAATAGTCGCCCAAAAAGTCGTCATTGTCATCAATATGCACGACATCTTGACTACCACCGGTTTCAGATGGTACGTTAGAGTCGGTATTGTACTCATTATAAAAGTTCTCAAACATCTTTTCAATATCATTTTCTAAAGACTTAGCCTTTGCAGTAATATCTAATTCGGAAAGGGGATTATTTTCCGACATCTTGTACTTCATCAATGTTTCAAAAGCATGTCTAAGAAATTATGTCTTCATTCGCGGATCCAATATAGTCGCAAAGTACATGTAGTCGTTCAATTTTTCAAAGTCGCCCCAATACTTCTCATATTTGTCTATCATATCCTTCCCAATTGAAGAAAATCGTTTGTTTTTCAACCATACCCGTATATGCTTGTAAATGCCTCATATTTCTCCAAAAAACCGATTTGCCATCGGTTTTGAAGTCGTCGAAACCAATTCTGTTTTGACCTTGAACTTCTCAAGAAAGGAGACCATTGCTCGACAAGTTACAAAATATTCACTCACGGGGGTTACCACATCTCGTGCAAAGGAACGATCTATAAAAAAAATTATAAAAAAAAAGATTTCATATACCATTTTTGGAAGGATGTAAGTGACTAAATACAAATGCAAATAAGATGTTTCTGGAGTCTATAACTATTGCCAAACAATGAACTATATTATGAAAAAAAAATCAGCCCCAACGGACTTATAACGAATAAGATATGACAGTTTAAAACTAACTAAAAATTCAACAACAATGTTGTAACAAAAAAAAACATAACTGATACCTCATTTTTGGAGGGCTGTAAGTGACTAAATACAAATGCAAATAAGGTGTTTCTGGAGTCTATAACTATTGCTAAACAATGAACTACATTTAAAAAAAATCAGCCCAAACGGACATATAACGAAGTAGATATGACAGTTTAAAACTAACAAAAAATTCAGCAACAATGCTGTAACAGAAAAAAAAAACATAACTAATATCTCATTTTTGGAGGGCTGTAATTGACTCAATACATATGCAAATAAGGTGTTTCTGGAGTCTATCTCCATTGCCAAACAGTGAACTACAATTTAAAAAAAAATCAGTCCGAACGAACTTATAACGCAGTAGATATGACAGTTTAAATCTAACAAAAAATTTAGCAACAATGCAGAAAATAGAAAAATAATAATAATAATAAT